GTTGCTTGCTGTTCTCAGGCCTAAAACTTTAACGTTGTTTATAGAGTAAATGTTTATACTGAGAAAATGAACATTCAGCATTTATGCTGGTAACAGGCATCCATATGACCTTATTGTCAATCTGTTCCAGAAGAGGAAATCTGCTCTTATTTGCATTCCAAAATGATGGAATATTAAAAGGATTTGGTAAATCATCTTGGTAATTCACATATGTTTGGAATCCTACAAGAACATCAGTAGAAGGACATTGCAAGTCCTTGATGGCTGCAAAACTGTCTAAATCATGGCCTATACAAGGTAGGCTGTCTAGGATCATACAGGCAAGCTGCCTTGTAAAAGTTATACACAGGGTGGATATCCAGGTATTTATTCAGTTTCAAAATATATGTGCTGAAAACTCTCTCCCTCTCTGTGTTTTTAGTTCAGACAGAAGACAATCAGTTTCTAGGACAAATTTTTAGTTTGATATACCAGTATGCAAATACTATTTTACTTCCCCCATCATGTTATATACAACACATGCAAGCAGAGACTTAGTTTCTTCTAAGTTTATCAAAGCTGTTCTTAAACAAGTGCAGTTCTCATTTATAAAATGCCAATTTAGGTGCAAATTATGGTAAGAAGCATGATGTAGTCAACCTTCATCTACTAATTCCAGACTCTTATCTACTGCACGGCCATGGTTCTTTTCTTGCTTAAAGAATCCTTCATAAAACTGTACAAAGGATGAGTGATATTTGACTGCATTAAACCAGGAATTCCATCTGGTTGCCACTGGTACAGGGAGTAATTTCACTTGTTCCTTAGGCAAGGAACCTTGAAGCCATTTTAAATATCACTTTTTCTGAGTAGTCTTTTTTAAAAGAGGCTGACTTGATGAAAGTAGTGAGCTGGGTAACATTATCAAATGCTGACCAGTGTGAAAATACTTCATCAACAAGATTTAAAATATGTGCTAAGCACAACATATGGCAACTGTTAACAAAGACATTTGACAACACTTATGAGCTTTTTTTTCAATAGGCTGCAGATCTGTTACAAAAGCTCAGATTCATGCTTGACTTACAGTTTGATGATTGCATTCTCGAAAGGTTACATCAAAGAGAAATGACTCCCCATAAATGCTTGGAATCACATTCAAAATGTTGTGGTCATGATAATTGTTTCATCTGTTATGATGCTGACTGATTGATTAGAAAGCTTGGCTTTCAGGGCAGCAAAAGTGACAAGCAAATAATTTTGATAGATGAAGTTGCCTAACACAATTAACACTTGGAATAGCACCATCTTCTTTACAATGTTTTAATATGAATGGCCTCATTTTGTCAATTTTGTGTAGGGGAATGTCAAAGTTCACATTTTCAAAAAAATCAAGGATAAAATCATCTCATATCTCTTTACTCCTCAACAAAGTTGTGATCGTCTTCTGTTTCAGTTGAGCTGACTTTTTTTAAGACTTTTTTTGTCAAATGAGTTTTTTTTGATGAGTTTTTGATTTGAATGTGATCTTTGATTGTGTCAACCCTAAAAATGTCAACATTATGGAGACAGAATTTGCAAAATGACATATTTTCTTCTGCATAAAAGTTATCAGGAAATTGCTCTACTCTGGCCTTAGCACAAATTTTAGATACTGGTGTCATTTTCTTTTTTTGTTGTTTTTTTAGAGGAGCAGACCCAACTTTAGAGGTTGATTCACTATATTGACTTGAGTCAGTCATCTTGGCAATTTGTTGCTTATTCATACAACTGGTTTAGATTACAAAATATAAATAAAATATGAAAAAATAATCATTGATAGTTAATATTATCAAAGGAATTTTTTTTTTTTTTGTTCAATTTAAATTTGTTTACAATAGTGAAGCACTGAAGATGATGCTGTTATTAATCCGGGAGAATCGCTGTGTAAGCGCCAGTCATTTTTGGAGAATTTTTTTTCTTTATTTCTAGATTGTATGGTAGGCATATGATAACATTTACTTTTCTTTCATATTCATAAAACATAGGTAACTCCATAAAATCACTAAAAAAATAGCATAGCATGATGAAAAAGATGCCAAACTTGATGAAAGCAAAATTTTATCGTCTAAATGTTAATGTTATTATAAAGAGGAAAGACCAAAGTTTTTTTAATTATTTTTTAAATTTTTTCTTTCTTTTTAGAACATTCTAAATTTTGATTAAAAAAACCTTGTTTCTCTTTGTATCACCAGAACTAGTAAAATAACAGACAATTTTTAGCGCGTTTTTTTTTGTATGACAGACATTAATTTGGAAAATCTTGCAAAAATAAAAATAATGGTCGGATGTTAATGAAACTTTCAGAAACTGTTCACAGATGATCAAAATTATTATAAATATTTTTTTTTATTAAAGTCATGGCAGAAATATTTTTTTTTATATTTATTACCCCCCAATAACTAATTTTATGAAAATGCTAGAAATTCGATTACATCGGGTTTAGTGATTACAATAGTTTTAACTACTATCAGTATCATCTTATGAAATTTACATGATCTTATTTTTATATTAATCTCAGTTATGACATTTTTCCGTAAATGAAATATCAAAATTAATATTAAAATGAATGGAAATACAAATAACACAGTAAAATGTAATAAATATACATAAAATTATAGTATTTTATGTACAGTTCTGATAAAATTTCATAAGAAAGGTACCTATAAATTAGATACCTTTCTTATGAAATATGAAATTTAAATTCACTCTTAACAGTCTTATTTTAATTTCTTTATAATATATTTTCCATGAAGCATCGTAAACATGAAGGTGAAAGCTAAGTACAAAAAAAAATTAGAGCGCTAAAAGTTTTCCTCAAAAATAATGATGTAAATAATTTGTTCACTGAAATCTAAATAACTTCACTTTTCAGCTTCCATAGAACAAATTATGATCCCATAAATCCATCAAAACATCATTCAACACCTGTCAAGTGACGCGAAAGGTTATGACCTGCTTTGTTTTATTTTCAAAT